CCCAGTCTGAAATGAGCTTCTTTCACGGCGTCGTCTTCATTTTCAAAGTGGTTCACCTTTGCCTTGATTTGACTCTGTAAATCCATTGCCCAAGCGTCAAATACCCATGGTTCTTTGAAGCTGTGGATTCTCCCATTAGCCTCGTACATGATGTCACGGTTCCCTATTTTAATCTGCAATGATATTATTATTTAAAAACATGCGTCAACTCAGTTTGAAATGTCGTATTGAGTTTAAAATGTCCTTGGATAATGATGAGTGGCAACAATGCATTCTGGGATACATAGCATGGCGGCAGATATACTGTGCCTGATTGGTTATCCATCCCTACCATCTAACAGTCAGGCCAATCAGAGAGCAGCATGTTTGTTGACATATGCTAATCGATGTATCAAATTCTGCCTTATATATATGCGTCGACTGCACTGGTGTCATGTAGTACATTTGTAGTACCGCTTTATGATTGTGCAGTGTTATTGGCGAGCGAAACTAATTATGTGCATGCGCAGTGTGTAGAATTACATCACTTGATCATCGACATTTTATTTTATTCATTTTATCTCTTAGTTTTGTAGATAATACTATTTTTGAAAATCGATTTATGTTTGTTTTCCAGACACAAAATGCACTTTTGAATAACTTGTTTACAGTTGTGTGTTATCAATATTAAGTTTGAAGTACTATGTGAAGTAATATGTGTACTTAAATGAACGTTACGGTGCTCGCAAGATGTTTGCCGCGTTCTTGCAAATAACCGAGAATCACCGAGCAGTTCCGTGGATTAGGCTGTGATGGAGTTTTCAACATCTTCGGGCGTCATCAAGTCACCGAATTGCATGTGGAATTTTCACTTCGACGACGAACATTATAAAATCAACCTTTCCTTACGAATTTATAAGACCACTATTTTACCGGTGTTATTATGACGTCAGAACGGGCTTCAAACAAGATGGCGTACGTCAATTTGGCACAGCAATAAACGACGAGATTTATTTAAGTGAAAACAAATAATAACTTATTCTGAAACGAAGCAGCACGTCAGCTTTTGATCAATAAAACTCGCGAACGTCTTAACGCATTGCGATATTAAAATACAATTGATATTGTTTATTGAAAAAGGCAAGTATCCTACATGCTGTACATAGTACAGAGCAGTCTTACACATTTTTGTAATGTCCTTCTTTTCTGACGATATCAAAGGATTGTTTTAGAATAGAAACAGAATGTGTCGTGATTGACACAAATTCATGATTATTCAAGATCATCCAATCATGTAAATACACACATATATCCACAAAAACAGTCGACGATGTCATTAATTTAACTTGAACAGGCACTGAGAATAACGTTGAATTTTCAAAGCTCTCCCCACAATATTGTAACATATAACAAATTATTACACACCTGGCCCTTGGTACCAATCGCCGAATCCAGAGCTTTAGCAAGTAGGGAATCGATGTTTATTTGTGGTGTTGGTACGACATCAGGTGGCTTGTAATCTGGCGACATGGCGTCATTGGTGTCTAGAGATGTGCCCACCAGTAGAGTGATCGTATAGCTGAACACATCATATCTATAGCACATTGCACATAGTACGCTGCACGCGGCTACGGTTACTGCCAATCGGAAATAGTACGCCCCGGATCTTGGTGATGTACCTACTGCCACTGTTAAGAATGGTGATAATTACGATAATTAGTTAAAGCGGGAGAGTCGTCACCTGCGCAATCGCCAGATGGCCATAGCGTGTCATTGTTAACAAACAAGCGTCTACCCGTGAGCCTTTGCATTTTTAGCGTGTGTTGTTATCGTCGCGTGCGCAGGTCACGACCCCCACGCTTTAAGTTATGAGCGTATTTCTCGGAAATCAAGAATATAATTGTTCATCAATAATTTAATTTGTTTTTTCTCTGAAAAGTCTGTGTATTCTTATCAAACGGTAGTGATTCTTAGACAAATACACAATGCGCCATCTACCGACGATGTCCTTCCATGGCATCTACATGACTTAAAGTGTCGTAAACAACATCTTTCAAGGCAACTCATATTTGCTATTGGTAGACGATCACGAACCAAACAATATATAGAATTTGTACGGCGTCCCGTTTACCTATTTACGTCAGACAAACACTTCAGCTCTAGAGGGCGTGGACGATGCGATATATTCATTATACGACTAAATGACATTTTTGATAATGGAATAACTATTAGTCAACTATAGCGAGTTTTAGTCGCCTTGAAGTTCATTTTGTACTGCACATGTAAATGGTATCCACTTATATTCGTTGCGCAAGATTTGCTCAGACTAGTAACGAAACAAATAGATGCGAGTATCTGGAATAGAACGGCATCAACAAGAAGATTACCAGCGTCAATGATAAAATATATTAAGTATGTGATTTTAGATGAGTATTTGCAAAACTTGGGCAGGCACCCAAGAAATAAATCACATAATTTCGCAGTTTGTGCATTGAAGAACAAAATTTTTTGGCAAAAAATTAATAAATAAGCAAATAAACAAACAAACAAACAAACAAACAAACAAACAAACAAACAAACAAACAAACAAACAAACAAACAAACAAACAAACAAACAAACAAACAAATACATACATACATACATACATACATACATACATACATACATACATACATACATACATTTCTAATTTTTATTCGCAGGTATAAAAAAGATATTTACATTTCTGTTATTACATAACTAAAAAAGATAAAAATATAGTTTACATGAAAACCAAGATATCAAATTCGAATAAATACGACGAGTAAGT